AGAGGTTCCCAGAAATTCATATGAAACAGTATACTCGTGTGCATTGTAGTGGATGCTCAGGACTTTTGTGGTTTGGTTTTGTTGTGTTTTCTGTCGAGGCCATGGTTCATAGAGCCCCTGGCTAACGGTTTGTGATATTTGTTGAATGAAGTGAATGAGGGAATGAATGCAAAGAGAATGCCTTGGTATGCCTTTCTGGTTTCTCTTCCCTAGAAGTCGGAATTGACTCGACGCCAACGAGTTTGTTTTTATTTTTTGGTTAAAATACACACTATACAGTTCTTATTGTTAGGTGCTATCAAGTCAATTCCGACTCACAGCGACTCTGTAGGACAGAGTAGAACTGCCCCGCAGGTTTTTTTTGGCTGCAGTCTTTATGGGAGCAGATCACCAGGTCCTTCTCTTGCAGAGCTGCTGGGTGGGCTTGAACCGTCGACCTTTTGATTAGCAGCGGAGCGCTTAACCGTTGTGCCACCAGTGCTCCTTATACCCAGTTCCTCAACTTGGCTTAATATTATCTTAGCGTGGGCACTGAGGACACTGGCCTTTCCTGTTTTGACTCTTTTTTTCTCTTTTGTCATAGTCATTAGATTTGACCTAATACTGTAGCTGCTAACCACATGTGACTATTTAAACTTTAAAATGAAATACAATTAAAAAGCCAGTTCTTCAGTTGTATGAGCCACATTTTAACTGCTCAATAGCCACGTGTCTGGTAGCCACTAGATTGGATAATGCAGACATAGCACACTTTCACCATCATAGAAAGTTCTGTTGGACAGATGAGCTGCAATTTTTCAGACATTTGCCTAATAGGAATTCGAGGAAAAAGAGAAAAAATATTTCTCAAAACTGAGAAAGAGAGATTTTATATCGACTCTAGAACAGTGAATAAAAATTAAGTACATTACAAAAATTACTAAATCAAGGGTCATTGTCATGACATTTTAGAACATTAGGAATGAAGAGAGTATGTAAATACTTACCTCGCTTAAAAAAAAACAAGTCCCATATGGAGGATCTAGAATCAAAATGACATTGGATTTCTTAACAGCATCACTGAAAGTTAGAAAACAGACAAGATAGAATTCACTCAAAAATTTGAAGCCACACCCTGCTAACTGAACTGAAGCCACTCCCGAAGTCCACCTTTCAGCCAAAGATTAGACAGCCTGTAAAACAATTACATACGTGAGGAGTGTGCTTTTTGTAGTTCAGTCAAATATGCAAGACCTAATGGGCAACACGTGCCCACAAGCAAAGATGTGAAGGCAGGAAGGGGCAGGAAACCTGGATGAATGGACAGGGGAACCCGGGGTGTAAAGGGAAAGGGGCAGAGTGCTGAAATATTGTGGAGATTGCAACCAATGTTACAAAACAATTTGTGTATAAATTTTTGAATGAGAAACTAATTTGCCTTGTAAAATTTCACCTAAAGCACAACAAAAGAAAAAAAAGAAAAATTTTTTGAAGGCATTGCTCCACTAATTATCAGTTAAAGATAGAATAAAGACATTTGTACACATTGAGGATCTCAGTAAAATTGAGCTTTCATGCATTGCCAAAATGAGGGAGTAAACAAGAAAGGAGAAAGATTAGGGATCCACGAAATACAAAGAGGCATAAGGAATTCTCCAGACATTGGTGATGTTTAAGATCAGCAGCTCTCCAGCAGGCCAGTACAGATTAGAGCAGGAAGCAAGAAGTTTTAGGAAAGTCTTGGGTGTGTGTGGAGGGAGGATATGGAACTCGGATTTTTACCGTGTGAAAAAATGTATTTTAACATTGTTGGAAAGTGCTGTAAGAATTAACAAAGGACACAAAGAAAACTAGGGAAATAAAAACAGAGGCAACTAATAACTACAAGGAAAATCCAAAAGTTGTATAAGAAAGGAATCATAGTATACTGCTTGCTTAGTAGTGCCAATTCCTTTGTCAAAATAACATGTGTAGCACATAAAACCAAACCAGACGCGTTGCTCTTGAGCCAGTTCTCACCCATGGTGACCTCATGTGTTACAGAGGAGAACTGCCCCATAGGGTTTTCTTGGCTGTAATCTTAACGAGGAGCCCAGGCGGCACAGTGGTTAAGAGCTCGATTGCTAACCAAAAGGTTGGCAGTTCAAATCCACTAGCTGCTTCTTGGAAACCCTATGGGGCAGTTCTACTCTGTCTTACAGGGTTGCTATGAGTCGGGATCAACTTGACAGCAACTTTTTCTTTCTTTTTTTAAATCTTAACGAAGCAGAATAACAGGCTGTTCTTCTGCATTACCTCTGGGTGGGTTTAAACTGCCAACCTTTAGGTTAGTAGTTGAGCGTAAACCACTTTCACCACCTAGGGACCTCTGTGAATATAGAGTTAACCAAATATTGTTATATAACACTATTGGGAAAATGTGGTAGGGCAAGCACAAGAGTGTTAGTGGTAATTTTTTAAAGGCAAAATCTTCATCTATATATTAGAAAACCAATAAATAATATCTAAAATTGATTTATTGAAGGGATATTATAAGTAGATTGTTTAGAAGAACGGAAGTCATTGCTGGAGAACACCACCAATAACCAAAACAGCTCTTAGATTTGAAAGTGATTGCTTTAGGAAGTGGAATTGGGGATTATGGTTGTTGTTAGTTGCCAGTGAGTGGATTCTGACTACGATCCCATGTGTGTGAGTAGAACTGCTCCATGTGGTTTTCAAGGCACTGATGTTTCAGAAGCAGATCACCAGACCTGTCTTCCGAGGCATTTCTGGGTGGGTTCAGACCCCCAACTTTTTGGCTAGTAGTTGAGTGCTTACCCGTTTGTGCCACCCAGGAATTGAGGATAACCCCCAAAAAAACCATACCCATTGCCAGCGAGTCAATTCCGACTCACAGTGACCTTATAGGACAGAGTAGAACTGCCCCATAGGGTTTCCAAGGAGTGGCTGGTGGATTTGAACTGCCAGCCTTTTGGTTAGCAGCCTATCTTTTAACCACGGCACCACTAAGGCTCCAGAAGCGGGGATAGATGGATTGGAAACCCTGGTTGGCGTAGTGGTTAAGCGTTCGGCTGCCAATCAAAAGGTCATCAGTTCGAATCCACCAGCTGCTCCTTGGAAACCCTATGGGGCAGTTCTACTCTGTCCTGTAGGGTTGCTATGAGTCAGAATTGATTCAATGGCAACGGATTTGGGTTTTTTTTTTTTTTTGGTGCTAAAAGGCTTGTACCTAAAAAGAGATATATTTTGCCTTAATTGTATTTTACTGTGTATATGCAGTACTTTGAAAATAATAAAAAATCGTTTGGAAAGTGAAAGTATATACAATATGCCTGCTGTTTTAAAAATAGAGTTTTAGTATGATGTAGAACAGTTTCTCAGCATCAGCACTATCAACATTTTGGGCCAGATAATTCTGTGCCGTGGAGGACTGTCCTCTGTATTTTAGGACATTTAGCAGCATTCCCTGCATTTACACACTAGATGCCAAGCACCTCCCCCGATTGTGACACCAAAAATGTCCCAACACTGTCCAGTGTCCCTCGAGGGGGTGAGTGGGGGAGCAAAGTGACCCTGGTTGAAAACCACTTCTTTATAGGATTTACCATCTGTTACAGAACGAACCATCTCATCGTATAAAAAATGTTTCAGCTATCGGTTGAACAGGAAACAGTGGCTTCGTGACACAGAGCGTGAGCCTAACAGCAAGTGAATCCAGAACTCTCTGGTGCTTTAACACCCTTGCTCCTTACGCCAGAACCCATCTTAGCCCCTGACTCTTGGCCTGCTTAATTCAGGACTTGTTTTTTTTTTTTTTTTTTAAAAGAGGAGTTAAGAGGCAACTGCAGCTTCTCTGTCATGCTTAGTGGCTTCTGAAAACATACTTTAGACTTTTTGCATTTTTTTAAAATGACGGTACAGCGTGTATGTCTCTGAAGTAGAGATGTTAATCATTACGGACACCCCGGGCAAATGTCGGAGCCTTGGATCTATTTCAGTGCTTGACTGGCTGCAGGATGCGTGTGTGCGTGTGCGTGCGCGTGCACGCACGCACGCGCACGCACACTTTCTTTTTTCCTCCCTCAGCAGTGCTTTGGCAAGTTGTTGGTTGTGTTCTTTGCAAATGTTTTCTCCTCGGTTTATACCAAGGAAGTCAACAGGAAAATGGTACCGTTGATTTTATTTTGATGTGGATGAAACCTCGTAAATAGTTTAATACCCTCATTTTACAGTTGACGAAACTCTGGCCCAGACAGAGTTTCTTACAATTAATTAGGAGAGAAGTGGGGCCCAGGACTCGGTTTTTCTTATTATGGGTATTTTCATCTTTTCTTTCTTTCCTTTTTTCTTTTTTAAACAGTTTCTGTGCACTGATTGGCTGTAGGAGAGAGAATAGAAAAGGCTCAGGTGTCCGGCTCGACGCCGGAGTTTGTTGGGTGTTCCCCACGATTAACAGGGTGTGAGCCTTTGTGAACTTAGAGAAAATGAACAAAAGAGGCAGCGAGGGCGATTTCTATTTTGATTTTGTGAGGTGCTTCTGTACCCCAATTCCTGATGGTCCAGAACTGTGCGTCCCGGGCTGGGGGGATGTCTAGGATGATGTGGAAGCAGGTCAGGAAGGAAATGGCCCTGGGCTCGTCCATGGCGGTACAGTGATCACCGAACCCATCTCGGCAACTGGGATCTCACCTGCCTGCTCCAGACCCTATATGTAACTACCTAGCTAACATTCCAGAGTCCCTGAGGGCTAACCAAAAGGTTGGAGGTTGGGATCTACCCAGAGATGCCTTGGAAGAAACGCCTGGTGCTCTACTTACAAAAATCAGCCATTGAAAATCCTACGGAGCACAGTTTTACTCTGACACACACCGGGTTACTGTGAGTCAACGGGCAACTGTTTTTTTTTTTTAAACAGTTCACTGGAGATTGAACGGACATCTCACATTAACATGTTAAAAAAAAAAAAAATCTGGATTTCCCTTTTCCTTGGTCTTCCTACATCCCAGTAAATGGCTTCACATCCAAGAAGATGCTCAAACCCCAAATCTAGGTGGCCTTGGGTTCCCCCTGCCCCACCACCGTTTGCTCCATTTGAGAGTCATCTTGGTCTTGCGTCCACACTGCATCAGAACTCCATATGTTTCTCTTCATCTCATCCTCACTGCCAGCATCTGTACGAGCCACCTGCTGAGCGGGAGCTACGTTGCATTTGGCTCTAGGCATGATGGGAAGGCCCTGTAGGGTTTATAAGCAGAGGAGTGCCATGGTCAGAGTTTTAAAATTATGAAGTCTGACCACTTTGTGAAGAACAGGGTTTGGTGGGGCATTGTTGTGTGCTGTCGAGTTGATTCCAACTCATAGCAACCCCACGTTCCAGAATAGAACCGTCCCGTAGGGTTTCATAGGCTGTAATCTTTATTGGGAGCAGATCGCCAGGTCTTTTTCTTGTGGAACCACTTGGTGGGTTTGAACTGCTAACCTTTTGGTTAGCAGCTGAGAGCTTAGCATTGCACCAGTAGTGCTTGTTGTAGTGGGACATTGGTAAGATCAAATTCCTTCCCATGGGCTGCGAAATCCCTCATGATCTAGGCTTTGCTTTCTTCCCATGTGCCAAGGTCATTGTCACCACAGGACATTTGCACTTACTGTGTGTGCAGCCTCACCTCAAAATAAACTCCTGATCACCCAGTCACTTTCTTTTTTACCACCCAAATTGACCTTCCTGATGGCTCTCATCTGAAATGAGCTTCTTGTGCGTTTTATTTACTTCCTCACTCCCCAAACTCCCTCCTCTCGCTGCCAGAGTAGGTACGTGATGACAGCAGAGATCTCATGTGTCCCTAACAGCCGCCCAGCATCTCATGTGGCATTTCCAGCTTCCACAAGGCTGGACGCAAAACAGCAGAGATTTGCTGAGTTGCAGTGAATTTAGAAATACCTGTACTTCACCCAGCGTGCCTTGGGCTGAGAGAGAAAATTGTGTTCGTCATCAGAGCTGAGTAGATTCGTCAGTTTTTGAAGTTCCCTGGCTGTATAGTCTTGATCCGTTCAAGGTAATGAAAGTTTTGAACAGATTTTTGGGAACAATCTGAGTGTGTGCTTTTAACAGAAACTTAAGCTTCAGCTCACCAGCGATGGTTGTCCGTCTACCTTGTAGCTGAAAATACGGTTATTATTTCAGCCTCCTAATACTGCTAGTTCAGATATATATGCCCGGTTATGGAATGGCCGAGACTATGCTTCAGCATGCTTACATTGATATTTTTGCCTCACTTTGGGTATTTTTCATTAACAGGTAACTGAGGAGGGAAAACAGGCCAAAAAATAAACCCTGGACATAAGAAGGGATTGGCGTACGCTTCGCTCTGAGTAAGTGGAATTGTAAAATGGATTTCTTGTTCCATAATGAATGACCTGTCAACCTCCTCTCTAGTTTCTGTGCTTAAAAAAATAAATATTACTGAATTGGCTTTATGGACTGGAAATGGTGAGGATGACTCAAGCTTTCTTGTAAGAGGTGATTTTGCTAGCAGAGAGATGCAGTTTATCTCCATCAGTGCTTTATAACGACTTCCCTTTTTTTAGCCCCTCGAAGCCAGATGTACATTTTTAGTGAAGAAAAACCGAGATGAGGATTAAAACACGCACGCTGTAGAGAAAAGTATAGTTTCTGATCTTGTCTCCCATATAAACTTGAGGTACTTATTTTTCCTCAAAAAACTGGTTTATTAGGGGAAAAAAACCAAAAAACATTGTTGACCCATTTATCTGCTGCACGTTCCTTTTATCTCATATGTTCTGAGAATGGGTTTGGGAAATGATGGGCCGCCACGTAACTACTGGTGAGCTGGCCAGAATGTTCCTTAAAAACCTTGTCATGGCCTATGAGACAGACTCCTGGGGAGGCATTTTCCTTCAGTCTAGGGTCTACATGAACTATTGTCAGAGTAGCGAGAACCCAGACTCCTTCAGGACGCGCCTTCTGTGGTCTGGCACCGCCACCTGGGCTGTCATATTTTACCCAGTTTGCACTGGGGCCTGTTTCTTACCTTCATCAAGAACATTTTTCTGTATGAAAGATCTTATGTTTCTGGGGTGAGCATTGTTTGAACCTGCTATCTGGCGCACTGGGAGTGTACACAGATGTGTGACGTGTGTTGGCTCTTGGAGTAAGGTGTTAAAGCTGCGTCATGGAAAAGTGGGCCAGCACAAAGCTGTGGTGTGGGTATGTGTCCAGCGTATGGTGCAGACGCTCTTCGCGGTGAGAAGTCTGAGGAAAGGTCTGTCTACTGTCAAAAAAGGCAGCAATGGGCAAGGGAGACTCAGGCTGGGATTTATAGTGGGTAGGATTTCAGCACACACAGATGAAGTGTGTTCTAGGCATTGGCTTCTTTGAACAAAGCTGATGAGACAGGAAAAAGGAAGCATTTTTTTTTAAGAAAACAATAGGTAAGCCAGTCCTTTGGTGGTGTAAATGGTGAACATGCTTGGCTACTAAGTGAAAAATTGTAGATATCAGTCTACCCAAAGGCACCTTAGAAGAAAGGCCTGGCAATCTTCTTCTGAAAAATCAGGCATGGAAAAACCCTATCAGCACAGTTCTATTCTGATACCGTGGGGTCGTCATGAATCAGGGCCAACTCAGTGGCAGTTTTTTTTTCTTCTATGTTAACCACCTGGAAGTGTTTATAAGGTTTCGTCAGGGTCTTGAGAGCCCCCAGCTGTACGGTGTATTGCTCTGGGGCTGCCATATGTTTGTTCAGGGCATGTGGAGTGTGTGTTGCTTTTCCCAAAAACTTGAGTGGTGCTTTCTCATTGGACTCTGATGACTGTCCTTTTAGAGGTCTTGGTGACAGAGGTTGTTAGCCCATTCTTGGCCAGTTCCTTTTTATTCATGAAATCCAAGGTCATTGTCATTGAGATGAGCCATGACTTTTTTTTTTGGTCAGTTTAATTGACTATTTATTTGTTTATTTTCCTACATTTTGTTTATTTTGTTGTTGAGATTATAAACAGTGAAACATACACCATTTCAACAGTTTCTACCTGTACCATTTAGTGATATTGATTACATTCTTCGAATTGTGCAACCATTCTCACCCTCCTGTTCGGAGCTGTTCCTCCCCCATTAACATAAATTTCACTGTCCCCTGAGGTTCCTATCTAGTCTTTAAAATTTCTGTTTCAGTTTGATCCCATATAGATATATCTTAAGAGAGCATAATGCTCAAGGTAGACCTTTTTTACTAGTTAAGCTAGACTATTGTTCAGTTTTAAGATGACTTCAGGGGATATTATTTGGTTTAAGGTTTAAAGATTATCTCAGGGCAGTAGTTTCAGAGATTCATCTACCCTCCATGGCTCCAGGAAGTCTAGAGTCCATGAGAATTTGTGATTCTGTTCTGCAGTTTCCCCCTTTTAATCAGGATTCTTCTATGCAGTCTTTGATCAAAATGTCCCTTAATGGTAGCCGGGCACCATCCAGTTCTTCTGGTCTGATGGCAAAGGAATGGTAGCCGGGCACCATCCAGTTCCTCTGGTCTGATGGCAAAGGAGGCAGTTGTTCATGGAGATAATTAGCTACATATTCCATATCCTCCTCCTATTCCTGGCTCTCCTTCTTCCTCTCTTCCTCCAGGTGAACAGACACCAATTGTTGTGCCTTGGATGACCGCTTGCAAGCTTTTAAGACCCCAGGCACTACACAGTGACTCTAGGAGGTAGAACAGAAGCACTAAACATATTATTAGGCCTGTTAACTGGAATGTCCCATAAAACCATAAACTCTAAACCTCCAAACTAAGGAACCAAAACCTGTGAGGTTTTTGGTTTTACATAAACAGCCTTAGCAGCTACTCTTTTTGTTGTTGTTGTAAATACATCTGTGACACAACTTTTGCCAGTTCAACTTTTTACAGGTGTACGATTTATTGACAGCAATTATAATAATTGACTGTAACCTTACCCTTAATGTGATTTTTTTCCATCACTGTTAACCCCTCTTTTTCCTCTCCCTTCCGCCCCTGGTAACCACTAATAAACTTTGGTCTCTGTACATTTATCTTTTCTAGTCTTACTGTACAGAAAGCCTGGTGGTGTAGTGGTTAAGAGCTACAGCTGCTAACCAAAAGGCTGGCAGTTCGAATCCACCAGGCGCTGCTTGGAAACCCTATGGAGCAGTTCTAATAATAAGATCATACAGTATTTGTCTTTTTGCAATTGGATTATTTCACTGAGCATAATGTTTTCAAGCTCCATCCATACTGTAGCAGGTATCAAGACTTCATTTTTCCTACTGGCTGAGTAACATTCCACTGTATGTATGGTACCACATTTTGTTTATCCATTCATCTGTTGATGGGCATTTAGGTTGTTTCTACCTTTTGGCTACTGTGAATAGTGCTGTGATGAACACTGGTGTACAAGTCTCTTTTTGAGTCCCTGCTCTCTAGTCTTTTGGGTATATGCCTAGGAGTGGAATTGCTGGGTCATATGGTGGTTGTATTTTTAGTTTTTTTGAAAAACTGCCATACTGTTTTCCGCAACAGCTGTACCATTTTGCATTCCCACCAGCAATGGGTAAGGGTTCCAATTTCCCCACATCCTTGCCAACATGTTATTTTCTAATTTTTTAAAAAATCCTCGCTATCCTAGTGGGAATGAAATGGTATCTCATTGTGGTTTTGATTTGCATCTGTCTGATGGCTGATGACGCTGAGCATCTTTTCATGTGTTTGGTGGCCATTTGAATGTCCTCTTTGGTGAAATATCTATTCATGTCCTTTGTTGATTTTATGATTGGGTTATTTGTCTTTTTGTTGTTAAGTTGTCAAAGTTTTATATACATTTTGGT